TTCCATCTTGATTTCACCATAATAATTCACTGATCCTCTCCTTTCCTGTTTCAAACTTTTAACAATTAATTTTGGAGGTTGTTCAACTACTTGTATCAAGGACTTTAATAACAACTGCAGAGAGTTCTCTTTTCAATTGCTCTTTTGTCAGACTTAGTTAAATATAAGATCTTTATAGATGGTATTTTTTACAATCTTTCCTTCTCTCCATTATAATCTGCATAGTTGTTATCCCCTGTTACTAGGAGCAGTGGTTTCCAAATACCAATCTTTTGAGCCATTGATCAGAATCACTTAGAGGATTTTTTAAATATTCAGATTTCTGGACAGTCCTCCCATAAAATATTCTAGGTGGAGCAAATATTATAGGTGGAGCCCTAGAAACTATAGTTTAGCAAGATCTTCGGCCCTAAAATCAAAAATACAGACAAGGTTTGAGAGACTGATATTTAGAAAAAGGCTGCTTTTGCTAACTGTGAGGCTGAAGCACTGCTCAGACTTTTTGCCTCTCCTACCCAAGTTTTTTGGGATCTTCCCCTTACTACAATTACTGGGTGGGGAATGGGAAAGGGTTTGAAACCTCACTCTGAACTTGGATAAACAGATATATTTTCCAGATTCAAACATGGTATGAACTCAATGTGGAAAAGTTCAATCCCTAAAAGGCAGAAATATTTATTATGTTTCTTTCTCAGAAGCATCATCTCATACCTACTGTGGTTGCAATCACTTCCGATTTTACTGTATATTTCACATTAATTGTCAGATAACTAACAAATAACTCTGGAAGAAGACAGTGAAGAATTATTAGGAAAACTGTAGAATAATCCAATTAAAACATAAACTATTGTGCCCCAGCATTGATGAGGGCAACAATCATTAGACAGAAGCAAAATGAGGAGTTTTGAATTCCAACCATATTTGAGCATGTATCAATCTGAGGTCAGAGGAGGCATGGGTCAGGAATCCAACAAGTACTACGAATTGGGACTTGTAAGACAGAAGTCTGAGGTCAGCAGAGAGCAAGAAAGGGTTAAGTCCATGGTTTTAGGCAAGGCTGAAGAAATCAACAGAATTTTGAAGGTCAAGGCAGTACAGAATCCAACAGCTCAGAGAATTTGAAGCAGTAGCATCCATGAGTAGAAACAGAGGAACTCTGAGCCTAAGGCAGTGAATGATTTTTCTCTGCTCATGTTGTTTTCTACCTCCTGTTGGATACACGTGGCCCTGAGACCACAGGTGTGTAATAACTGACAGAAGATGATTAGAGGCCAGAAGGAACACTATGTACCTGATTGAAGTACAGACAGAAGTGTGACAATAACTGGGAGCTCTTAAACACTAAACGTACCCAGCAGGCAATTCATTCCTCCTTGTTTATTAATCTCTCCCTTGGACCTCACAATGTACAAAGGCTGCTCCCTGCCTGCTATATGTTTACAGTACATAAGAGACCTGGGAAAATCTTTCACCTCCTCTCTCTGGCAGCTGATTCCTCATTAGCTTTCATAAAGGCCATTTCAGTAGGTCAAACTCTGTTCTGTTGTAGAAATTAAAATAGTCTAACCAAGGAACATGTGGACATAAAGGAAGTAGAGCATGGTAAAGGAATATATCTTTCCTAGCTAGACCTCCATTCTGCAGCAATAGAGGAATCTATTGAACTAGTATGGACCTTAAGAAGAACCCCTCTGCTTTATCCAAGTAATTCTGAGAGGCATAGAACCAAAGTACACTGAAAGGCTTTACTTATTTTTGTATCAATAGTCAAACTCAAATCTCTATCCTCTAACCTTACCACTCCAAGTAAAGACCAATAAATAGCACATGAACAAGTGAAAAAAAAATGAGGAGCTAGAGAATTTGTGCCAGTTCCAAGAGTATAGCTAGCCTTGCCTACATACTCAGACATGAGAAGTGATTTCACAAGCAGAAATGTGTAGTTCACATGTGGGAAAAGAAAAATTTTACTGGGAAATAACAGCTGAAAGTGCTCAACACTTAGCCCACTACTTGCTGAAAATGTTGCCCTATAGAGTATCTCAGAATGATAATCATTGGTGATAGTCAGAAAATTTATCCCTAGTTATAACCCTTTGTTTATAAATTCTCTTTGTTGAAATGACGAGTGTGATTTCCGTCTCCTGACCAGACCATGACTAATATGGTATAGGTGGTATTTAAGCCATGAGGCTAGATGGTGTCACCAAAAGAGTAAGTACAGATAGAGAAGCCAAGGGTTCCAAGGAGTGAACTTTGCAGCATCGAACTAATTTAGAAGTTTCAGGAAATGAGAAGAAAACCGCAAAAAGAGACAGGAAAAATTTAGTAACTAGTGAGGTAGAAGGAAAATTAGATGATGTGATACTCTGGAAGGCAAGTAAAAATAGTCTTTCAAGGAAGAGAAGGTGATCAATGTAGGAAAAGTGGAGGTCCTCAATAACCTGTCAGTAGCAGGGAAGAACACTTGATTAGTATGTTTAAAAGATTATGTGAATGTCAGATAAGGTCGAATTTTGGGGGAAATGCATAAAATTAGAAAAATAGAGTGCTTTATAATTATAAAATGCACACTTTATAATGAAAGAATAACAGTTATTAATATATGTACTATATATGAGAAGAAAACAGTAAGAAGATCAGTAATTGCCCAGGGGTAGGAGAGAGGATGGGATGAATAGCCATAAAACAGAATTTGGGGGGCAGTGAACCTACTCTGATATTATTTTGGTGGACGCATGTCATCATGCATTTGTCCAAACCCATAGAATGGAAGAGTGAACCCTAATGTAAACATTATAATGATGTGTCCATGCAAGTTCAAGGATTCTAGAAATGTCTTAGTCTGGTGTTGGATGTTGATAGTTTGGAAGGCTGTGTGTGTCTGAGTGTTTGTGTGTTGTGGGGACTTGGGGTGTATGGGAATTGTGTACTCCCCGCTAAATTGTTCTGTGAAACTAAAATGCTTTAAAAAATAAAGTGTAAAGAATAAAGTGTAAAAAATAAAGAAAGAATAAGAGGACGAGGAGGAGGAGGAGGAGGAAGGGGAAGAGAAAGGAGAAGACAACCTCATAAGACCAACTCTGAAGTTTTCCCTGACCCCTCTGTCCTCTCTGTCCTGTCAAAAGAACTGCTCCTTTTTCTGTGTTTGCATCGTGTTCTATTCCTACTTTTTTACAATTCCTATCACTTTATTAAGTTGTATGCGGGTCTCCTAGGAAAAGATTATATTTACAGGGCCCACAAGAATAATCAGTTGAGGCTGCTCAAGACTAAATGTGCCGTAAGGCTTTGACACTCCTAGGTCTCACCAGAGGACTAACGGAATCACTAGCTTAGCAAGATGCAACCTATCTCAACCTTTGGGGAGTGTCGTGGATTGGATGCGTTTCCCCCAAAATTCATATGTTGAAACCCTAACTCCAATATGATGTTGTTAAGAGATGGAGCCTTCGAGAAGTGCTTAGGCCATGAGGGTGGTGTCCTCATGAATAGGATTTGTCCCTCTAGAAAAGAGACCACAGAAAGCTCCCTCACCCTCTTTTTT